GGCGGTGCACCTGCACCCGGGCGCAGGCGGCGGCGGCTCGTCGGTGGGCGAGCACTCCGACGAGGACGCACCCAGCTCGGACGACCTGGAGCAGTTCGCCAAGCAATTCAAGCAGCGGCGCATCAAGCTGGGCTTCACGCAGGCCGACGTGGGGCTGGCACTGGGCACACTGTACGGTAATGTGTTCTCGCAGACCACTATCTGCCGCTTCGAGGCCCTGCAGCTGAGCTTCAAGAACATGTGCAAGCTCAAGCCGCTGCTCAACAAGTGGCTGGAGGAGACCGACTCGTCCAGCGGCAGCCCCACCAACCTGGACAAGATCGCGGCGCAGGGCCGTAAACGCAAGAAGCGCACGTCCATCGAGGTAGGGGTCAAAGGCGCGCTCGAGAGTCACTTTCTCAAGTGCCCCAAGCCCTCGGCGCACGAGATCACGGGCCTAGCTGACAGCCTGCAGCTAGAGAAGGAGGTGGTGCGCGTCTGGTTCTGCAACCGGCGGCAGAAAGAGAAGCGCATGACCCCGGCGGCCGGCGCCGGCCACCCGCCCATGGACGACGTTTATGCGCCGGGCGAGCTGGGCCCAGGTGGAGGCGGCGCATCGCCGCCCTCGGCGCCCCCGCAGCCCCCACCCGCCGCTCTGCACCATCACCATCACCACACACTGCCGGGCTCGGTGCAGTGACCCCGCGGGCCGAGCTCCCGCAGGTGCGCGGCGAGGCGCGGGCGCACAGTCCGCCCGCGCGGCCTGGACTCTTTTTGTTCAGTTGCTTTGGATTTTACAAAACGCCCAGAAACTTTCGAACAAAACCAAACACCCGGACGACCCTCTCCGGCGAGTTGCGAAGACAGCGGATAAGCTGCATCGCCCGAGACTCGAGAGAGAGGAGCGAAAATCCGGAAAGCGCCAAGTCACCCCGGGCATCCTGCCCGACGCCTGCTCCCTGTCCCCATCCCCTCGACGACCCCTGCCCCTGCCCCCCGGGCTGTTCGGGGCCGGATCCCGGCAGCGGCCTCCCCACAGCGACAGGTAACGCGGTGCGGGGTTAGGGATTCCTCGGGAGAGAAGACGAAGTGAGGAGAGTTCCCCATCCTCTCTCCCCTGCGCGGACTCCCAGGCTTGCGGGTAAAGGGCGGGGGACTGTCACTTTATGCGCTCCGCGCCTCTTCTCTCCCCTAAGGATGCGCCCCACCCCCCTTCCTCTTCATCCGGGCTTGGTTTTTTACGGTTTTTATTTATTCGCGGAGCCTCTCGGTTCTGGGGTCCTTCTAACTCCGCCCGCGCCCTTAATTTAAATCGCTGTATACTGTATTTATCGGGGCCCCGGAGGGGAGGCCGCGAGAGCCGCGTCTGTGTATAAAGCAGGAAATAGCCAAAGCTTTAATCTAGCCTAATTTATTTTTCCCTTTACCTTCTCCTACCCTCCCCTAAAAAAGCAAAACAAAACAAAAAAAAAAAAAAATTCGAGTGTTCATTTTTGTTTCGTTTTATCCGAGCCCCGGCCGGGTTCCCCGCCAAGCTGGAGGGGTCTGCGCTCCCACACACACCGGGATGGGAACGGGCTTCAGCCCCGCTGCAGACTGACCACCGCACCGCAGGGCTCCCACTCCCCGCGGGGCCCTGCCCTGCTGGCCACTAACAAAACGAAACTTGGAAAAGTTGGAGATATTTTTTAACCAGCTGTAGAAATAAGCCGTTCCCCAAGAACCTTCTGCCTGATTCCCTGCAGCTTCCCTCAGCTCCTTTCCAGCCTGCTGACCCCCTGGAATGTAGGGTGCTGGGGGATGCAGGGAGAGAAATTCCCCAAGTTTGGGGTGAGGAGGGAACCATGTAAATATGTGAGATATGTACACACTGGCGGGGAGAAGAAACATTTTGTGCTTGGTTTTTATTTTTGGTTTTCTGGGTTGCCCCTCTACACCCCATCCTAAAGGATTTTGTATACAACTAATATCCAAAAAGATATTTTAATGATTTCCGGATTTCTAACCCATCTCTATTTATTTTCTGGATGTGTTTGGAGCTTCCCCCTTTCTCCATTTCTTGTTCTGTTTGTTATAGTTTTGAATTTAAATTTTGTTATTTTATTTTTATTTTTTGGAACAATGTTTTGGTGCATTCTCTTTGTATCTTTATTGCAAAAAAAAAAATGTAGACTGGGAAGTTCCCTTTATATTTATGTTATAGTAAATATTTTATTACTCACATAAACATGTACCCCAGGGCTGTCTCCTGTCCTCTTTACTGCCAGGGCTGGGTTGGTTTTGGGGTGAAGTGATGGGATTCGCTGGCTCACCTGTCCTAAAGTTTTGGCCGCAGTTGGGCAGATGTTGGTGGAAGGTGACCACATAGGTCTTTCCAGGCCAGTATCAGGGCCACCTGTTATTTAGGCAACTGTTGGTGCCCTACCCCAAGTGAGTGTGTTTCAGGAAGGTGAAGCTGCCTCCTGTCCCCTTCCTGTAAACAGACTGTCCTGAGACCAGACCAGGGCCTGGGATAGTGAATCACAGACACCACACCAAATTGGGGTCAGCCATTCCTCAGGCACAACTCAATTGCTCTTCTTGGCCAAGAAAGAAGCCAACCATGGCGACACCAGTCTGGCATTGCTGTGCTCCCTGCTCGACACCGCAGTTCCTGATGTTAGTTTCGCTTTGCACTCCATGTGTAGGAGACAGGCCAACTTCACTGTTCCCGGTCCTGGGGCAGCTGGAAGCCTTGTTGGGCCCCATGAGCCCATCCCAACTGCCTCTCTACCCACAAACAAATGATGCCGAAGCCCACCTGGATCCACACGGATCTGAGGGCTTAGATAGAGATCAGGCCAGTGGTTCTGCCAAGCCAAGTCAGCCTGAGGAGGGAGTCCTGCCTGCTTGCTTGGGCAAAGCCAATCCTACTTCTCTTTCAACAAGCCACTTGCCCCAACTTATCTTGGAGAGAAACAACTGTGCCACCAGAAAGACCTGGCATCTCTCCAGGGGTGGGCTTCCAAGCACTCCCAAGGGAGTGATGCATCTGACCATGGGAGGACTGACTTGTGTGGAGGCCATAGATATAGTCCCTTTTCAAGCCTTTAGTAACAGCATCCCTAAGGGTCAGGATAGGTGGAGGCATACCAGAGTTCCAGGTCCAAAGCCCAAGGCTACCTGTATCCCAGTCAAGATCTTGGGTTTTGGGGGTCTTGGTTTAAAAAAAAAATTAAAGCAACTCTTCATTAAAATATTAATAAAACAGCTTTTTTTTTTTCCTTCATAAAATGCAGTTCTTTTCCGTTTTCAGGGGGAACCACATGAGGTTTCTCTTACTCTTCATGGAGCCAAAGTACCAGGGCACAAACACTAGGCAGGAGAAGAAGGTTGTGCCCACAGTGAGGGTGTATGTAGACTCTCTCCCACCAGGAACACTGCCCAAGCCCAGGCCTGGGAGAGGCCCGGGCTCCAGCGATGGTACATGGTGCCCAGAGAGGTGTTCTCTGGCCCCCAACGTGGTGGTCCCTGGCTGGGCACTGGGCTCAGAATGGCTATGCCATGCTGCGAGTTCCTGGTGACTTTCTGGGCTCTGCTCCTCAGCCTTGGAGGGAATTGTCTCTGCAAGTACAAAGGCCACTGCTGTTTTCAAAGGCTCAGCCTCTCACTCACTGCTCCTTTAGGTTTTTTTCTCCTCCTTCAGTCCAGCCTAGTGAGCGATTAGCCCTGTAATTGGCACTAGCGTCCCTGCTGTTCCACATGCTGTTGGACAGTGAGCCTCCCTGGTGCTTCTTAAGAGACTGGCATGGTGGCCACACAGCTGGGACCTGCTAGCCACCATACTTCAACCCTCATTTCTTACTCCCCTAAGCATGCAACTTCGAAGCAGCCCCATGTTCCCCGACACACTCCCTCCTGATTTCTCCATTCCTGGATTTGTCCCAGCCCTGGGGCCCTGAAATGGAAGCAAATGAAGCTCAGAGCCCCCCACCGCCTGCACCCTCTCACACCCAGCAGGTCTCCAGGTTGGGAAGGGCGACTGGAAAGATGGGGCCTTTCACTGGCCTCAAATTGATTGATTGATTTCCTAATTGTCTGCTTAATCCTATACAAGAGGGTAGGTTTATTATTTAAGCAAGTCAACTCAAAAACAACAAAACAAAGCAGCTTCCCGAGAACCAGCGGCAGCTGAAGCGTAGAACAACAACAACAACAACAAAAAAAAAAATTGGGAAAAGGATGGAAGAAAATCTTACACTTTGCAAGAATTTTGCTTAATGAGACACCAGCCTGGGACTGCTACCTGCAGTGACCAACCTCAACAGTCACATGAAGTCCATGACAGCAATTTTTACTTTATAACGAGAAAACTGCAGGGAGAGATATTTTGTCTCATCAAATCTCACTCCCTAGACAAACTAGAGATTAGGGAAGGCACAGTCAGCTCGGATCCATTGCAGTTTCCCCATCCCATGTGTATGTGTGTCTACCTGCTTGTTCATGAGAACCTCACGCTCCCTTTTGTTCAAGAGAGGCAGATGTCCCCAGCATCAACTTCAGAGGAAACCGAAGCTTTCTGTAGCAGGTGTGGAATGTTCTGATTCTATCTCCCACCCCTTCTCATTTGAACAAAATTTTTCTATGGTCAATCTAGCCACATACTCTGGTAGTCAGAGCTTCACTCTCCCCATGTGAATTCCACATGCTGGTGTACGAATATGTGTGTGTATCACTGTTGGTGCAAATCCATAGCTGCTTCCAGAAGTAGGATGGGGAGGGAATCCATGCTACACTGCTAATGCTTTGAGCTCAGAGCATTTGCAGAGTGGAGGCTGACCAACATGGGAAAGGGAGGTAGCTGTTGTAGTCACCTGTGGTCATCAAGGCAAACCCAGAGCAAGGAGCCTGACCGTGCCAGACAAGCCTTTCCTAGAGGCCCAAGGACAACTCTTCTTCCCCACCTGCTACTCCAGGAAGCTGCACTAGCTTATGTTTTGGGTGGCTTAGGTCCTGCACAAGCCTCAAAGTCATCCCCTAACTCCAGGACCCTATTGAGTGTCCTCAGGACTAGCTGAGCCCCAACCACAGCTTCCCACTTAGAGCTGTTTGGAATCAGCTTTTTCTGGAGGAGCTCTGGGACCATGTGTGGAAGGGGTCAGCTCCCAACAGTACATACAGAGCCAGGCTGCCTCCCTCCTGGGGTCTCTCTCCAGCAGGGTTTACTCTCCAGGAAGGAGACACCAGCAAAATCCTCACCTGGAGGAAAAAAGGTTGGGCATCTGACCCAGTTGCTCCTCCTAAGCTTAGCAAAGACAATCATCTATCCAGAAGACCAGGTTAGCAACCGAGGCCAGAGGTAGCTGGAACCATCAGTTTGGTCCCTGCCTGGCATATTTGAAGACCCTGGGGTGTTTGACCAACCATTCAGAGCTCCTATTGCCACCTCTGAGGCCTCTATGTGGGAGGACTGCCCTCTATTGGTCCCTGAGCTGAGACATGGCAGCAGATACTAAGACCACCTCGGTATTGAGCGTTCCACACCACACAAATCAGCTTCAAGTTGGCTATTCTGCAGAAGGTGCCAGCTAGAACGAAGGCAACTTTAGTCTCCAAAGGAAGCCAGACTGCTACACACACATACACACACACACGCATACTTGCCCCTGACCCTTCCCTCTCAATCTGTCACCCCTCCCATTCACACAGCCACTATCGGAAATTCACCAGCATTCGCTACCTCCTCTGTCTCTCTCCCTCTCGCACTCATCGTCACTCCTCCTCTCAAGCCTGCTAAAACCCTTGCCAACTCACTCACACATACTTGCACAACACACACACACAGTTACACACTCATGGCCACACCACACCAGTGTTTTGGCTGTCCAGTACCAGCTTCCTGGTCTTTGGCACTGAGCTCTCAGGAGTGACCAGGTACCTGACACTTGTAATATGGGGTTAAGCACCCATACTCGTCCTTTGCAACATTGATGAGGTCCTCTTAGGACTTCCAAGCACTTACCCCACAAACTGTTTTCCAAACACATCCCTGCCCATCATTGTCCCAGCTCCTCCCAGATCTCTTGCTGCTCCGTTCAGATAATTAAAGTTAGGCTGTGTGTTTGTATGTATGTGTGATTTTATTTTTTAAACACACACCCCCACACGTACATATGCGTGTATATATACAAACACACAAAGCAATTAGATCTATCCGTTCCTGCCACCATCCATCTCGTGCAGCAAAACCTTAGCTATGCACATGCACCCACATCGCCATGCATATGAGCCCTGCATAGCATCACCTAGACGTGGACTTCTGATGTCTCACATGCACACATATACACAAGCAGTGGCACTTTCACACTGTTACACCCATTTCCATCTCCCTGATGTTTCTCCAGGGCCATGACCCACCTCCCACCACCCACCTACCACCAGGGCATCTGAGTGGGTTCTCCTCAAATAAGCTAAGTCCCAGGAGGCTCTGCCTCAACCCCCAGTTCCCACCCCACACACACACACAAACACCAGTGGACATATCTCTGCTGAGCCTGACCAGGGTGGGTCTGGGTATTATTAGGCTGCAGAGACAGCACGGAGGCATATGGTCTCGTACACAAGAAATAATGTTCATGTTAAATCAGACCTCATGCATAATGCATGGTGCCTGATCTCACATTATTTTGGGTGTTCGTCAAAATCAGTGTTCTTTCTTGTGAGGGCTCCTGAAAAGAAGGGAAAAAGGCGTTTGCTAATTACACCCACAGCCTGGACCCAGGCAGCTGGGAGTGCCCCAGGAGCCTCCCTCTGGCCCCTCAGGGCCCACCAAGGAGTCTCATTCCTCTGTCCCACTCTGTCTTTCCACATGGAAGGAGGGGCTGACTCGGGTTTGTAGCAGGCGTAAGGCCCCATGTTATTTTTATTTCTTTTCTCTCAGCTCTCTGTCCCCAGAGGGTTCTGGGGAATAGCAGTGGCTCCGTCGCTCTCACACCCGATTCATTTGCTGTTTTATGAACTCCCCGTTGATTCATCGCCTCCCTAAGTCAATGATTCACTCCTGATGGCTTTTCAGAAATCCTTCTTCAAAGGCTCCAGATTACTCAGCTCTGAACAGGAGCAAGAGCCGGAGGAGACTTGGGCCCACTCCCGATACTTGAGGTGGGATGTTGTCACTGCCCTTGACCTTTCCCTGGAGCTGGGCAGGCCCGGGGAGGGGGGTTGCCCCATC